CAGCAAATGTTGTGGTTGTAGTTCCCGAATCCCGTTTGTGATTGATGTGTAAGGAACTGATCAGGTGTGTTCTTGATAGAAAAAAGGAAACAATAACATAAACTGGGCTGATTTATCAGTGCGATGCTCCGCAATTCAGTTTACAAACTAATCAAATGTTGTATTTAGGCGCTTCAGTGTACCCCATATCTGCTTGAAGCGAACTTCTAATGGGGAGCTTTTCAATATTTTGGTAGTTTAAGTCAAACTACCAGTATTGCAGTCAAAAGGTACTTAGAATATAACACAAGAGTATTTACGATTTTCAGGTATTTGAAGAGTATTGTGCACGTATTTTTGATTGCTCCATTTTTTTGGGGTTGGAGTATATTTTGCATGAATTAAATAAATATTTCAAGAAATATATGTGAAAGGTATTTTGTGCCTATTAATTTCGTATTTACATATTTCAAAACGCATGAAGGGAACTTCAAATGTAGTTTCAATAAAGGTATTTTAAAATGATTTTCAGAAGTATATTTTAGTACCAAGTAAAAAAAAAGGAAGTTTATATTTTCGGTCTATTTTTCGTGTACTTAAAATTATGAACTGTATTTCAAATACACTCAAATTAGAATGTGGTATATTTCAAACGTATTAGTTTTCGCTAAGGGAGTGCTTAATCGGTGCGATGCCGACTCACTGCTGCGTCCCCCTATGCAGCCAAAGAGGACCGAAAGATGAACAAGGAAACAAGGTAAGTCACTGTTGTGAAGTTGCATGCCAACAATACTGTGAATAATATAAATTGGTTGAGGCAGATCCGCGCGGAAGAGGCAGCCTTCATCCGTGCGCATGAGGGGACGAGCTTCACTAGGACTAGGACGCTAATGGCCCAACAAATCAAGATCAATCTTCCTACGTTGCACGTTTAGTTGCGCTGCTCGATCTCGTCTGTGTCAACGCTTTCGAAAGAATTGGAAGCGTGTGCGGCGCTTCGTAGTCGCAAGTATTCATAACGAAAAGATAATCGTGACAGGATAACTGGCGTGCACGGAACATTGTTTCGAAATATGTTTGAACTGCACGAGTGATCTTGCGTAAGGCAAACATAACTGTGCGTATTCGAAAAACTTTGGCGAGCACCCAGAGTTGATTTGCGACAACGTTTTGTGGTGCGAAGTTCGATCGAAGGCATGAACATGAGCGTAGTTTTCACAAAATACGTTGTCCGCACAAGCACTCACGCTAGGACTGCTCGCGCCCGTGCTTGTTACGCCACACCCCTGAATTTATTGTTGGTATGCTTCACGGTGCGTAAGCAGTGTGAAGCATGCTTCAGGATCCTCACCTAAAGGTGGAAACTAAAATAATCTGTTCTATCCGGGGCAACATTCTTTGGTAAGGAGCAAATTTATAGTTTTAAACACTGCTTGAAGACTAGAAGAGACTCCTAGCATAGAGCCCCCTCGGTCACAACTATATGACACTGCATGCCACAGTTACACACAAGTCATGTGTGTGTGCCATTATATAACACTAAAGTGATTCAAACATACACACAGGCAGGATGGGAAACATGACTTTATTAAGCACTTTCAGCAGCTTGCTTTTTGTGACAAGTAGAACAGTGATACAACGTAATGTCTCACATTATTTCACTCGCAGGTTGCCTACTTCGGTTTTCCAAAGGATAAGGAGCAGTTCAAGAGGTAGATTATTGCAATAGGGAGAGATGAGGGAAAGCATTTTAAGGTGACCCAGTCGACAAAAGTGTGTTCTAAACGCTTCAGGGACGGAGACTTCTTTCCAGGCTACGTGAATGGCAGGAAATTTTTAAAGGAAGGGATTGTTCCCAGCACATTCAGATTCTCAGCTCAGAAAGTGCCAAGAAGAAAACTTCAGAGGCACATCGCTCAACCAATGAACAACCGCAGCCCCGTCGACATGAGAGCTGCTCTCGCACATGACGAGAACGACATCACAACAGCTTCTGGAAGCGAGCCCCCACCAGATCCAGAGATATCCGTGCTGGTAGCCACACTTCAAGGGCAAGTTGCCAAACAAACTGCACATGTGAGCAAGCTTGCGTCTGATCTTCAGGAGGTTCAAAAAGAGCTTGCCGAAGCCAAAAATGAAGTCGTAAAGTTGACAAGGCACATTGAACTTCTAGAAGAATCAAACAAGAAAATGGAAGAGAAACTGAGCCGGAAGTTTTCTATAGAATGTTTTAAGGACAGCCCTAAGGATGTGCAGTTCTATACAGGACTGCCAAACTACGATGCCTACCTTGACCTACTACGGTATGTGAATCCTGGAATCAATGGGGAAAACATCAAAATGTGGTCAACCTCCTACTCTCTGGGTAGTAAACTAGGGCGGCCACGAAGCTTGCACCCTCACGACGAACTGTTCCTAATATTGGTTCGCCTTCGGCTAGGCCTCCTCGAGAAGGACTTGGCGTTCAGATTTGGGATTTCGACCTCTACAGTGTCACGACTCTGCATCACATGGATTAGCTATCTCTATCAGCACCTGTCACGACTTCCCCTGTGGGCGACACGGCAGCAAGTGGACGAGGATATGCCACCTGCTTTTACAGAGCAGTACCGAACAACAAGGGTGATCCTCGATGCAACGGAGGTCAAGTGCCAAGTTCCCACCAGCCTCGTACTTCAGTCTGCAAGTTTTTCGACATACAAGTCGTCAAACACCTTTAAGGGACTTGTCGGGATATCCCCAGATGGAACTGTGACATTCGTGTCGCAGCTCTTTCTGGGGTCAATGTCAGACAAAGAATGCGTACGGCAGAGCGGATACCTGGAACTCCCCTTCGATGTGAATGACTCGGTAATGGCTGATAAGGGATTTCTGATTTCTGAGCTCCTGGAGGACATCAATGTAAGGCTCAATATCCCCCCGTTCCTTGGCCAGGGGACATTCACAGAGAGCCAAGTTAAGGAAACTGAGAAGATTGAATCACTGCGTATACACGTTGAAAGGAGAATACAGCGAATCAAGAGCTTCCATATTTTTGATCGAGCCATCCCTCTCTCACTCGGCCCAGTAGCAAGTGAGATATGGACCATCTGTACAATTCTGACGAACCTTCAGAGCCCCCTGTTACGCCAGCATGAAGATGGAAGCAGGGACGTAGATTAGCTGCGTTTCTTTTGCATTACTTGTGCATATGTGTTTAAGGACATTGGCAGTTATGCCAGATAATAAAGCTTTCCTTCAACTTGTTTGTACGTGTTTTACATACAACTTGTATCAACTGTGGAACACAGCACAGCAGAGTGAGTGTGAATACAAGAATGTAGCTTTTCACATTTTAGTCATTAAGCCTAGTGTCGAGCATATGTTACCGCCTAGGTTAGAGCGCTGTATATGTGCATTTCACTACACTGGTATTTAGACCAAGATTTTAAATCTGAAAGACAAGGAGAACAGGTAATCAATTTGTTCATGCTCAGTAAGTAAGCTTAGCCATACTTGTTACCCTCATATCAGCTCGTAATTTTGAATGTGGACGTAGCTCAGAACACCCTGGTGCAATTTTCTATAGACAGGCACAGGCTAAGCATGTGGCAGAGCCTCTGCCTCCAGTGCGAGCGTTCTACCTTGGCACTGTGTTGCGTCAACTTCAAGCGTGCAGCTGAAACACTACGAGGCGTAACGAGCGCACGTGTTAAACTTCTGGTTCATTCTTAACCTGTTCCCAAGGCTGTTTTCAATCAAAGGTGTTGAGGCAAGAAAAAGCAGACTGCATGTGGTGCTGCTGTCGACTACTGGAGCTTTGCACAAAGAAGTGTCTCTGTTAAGAATGCGCAAAGAAAGTCCTTTTAATGATAGCGTTCGAGCTTTATTCGAATCTCGGCCGCTGGGCACCCCAGTCTTCCCACGCTTCCCTTGAGCAGTCTCAACCGAGATGCTGCTTCGAGCAAGCCGGCCCTGAAGGATAAAGCGGCTGCAGTTGGTGGCCTGCTGTGTACCACGTCGGCCCCTTAAACAAAACAAACTGCAAGCGTCAAGCCCCCATCCTTATCCGTTTTGAGAACCTCGCAGAAGGAAAATTGTATTTATGACCTAGAACCCCTTTTAGAACACTAACCCTGGTAACTGACAATTTTATTTGTTTCATTTGCTATAAAGTTGATACTCCTTTTCCAAACAAGGGCAGTTTGTTAGTGACATAGACACAAGTGCTGAACTCTCAGCTAAACATTTATTGGAAACACGCCACTGCACTATAGTCGCAGAAAAGGGTAAGGATAAGAGCAAATGTCACATGAAACATAAGAATAAGTGATTGTGCAGTTGCCATGGTTCACGTGGTTTCACTGACCTCTGGAGTGGTTTACATCGGGCAAACAAGTTTGAGTGAAAATGAAAGGATGCACAAGAACGACTGATCGCTTCGATCCACGACAGGGGCGTATAGTTCACAAATGTCATCCCATTTTCAAAAACATCACAGTCATTGAAAGCAGAACAGACGCAACAGTCAAAATTGTTAAAAAAAAATTCGACGCAAAAAAGACGTGCGTAGATAACTCTGTTGACCAGACTTATGCTCATTTACATAGAAAATACATTGCATTCTTGCACATATGTTGCATTCAACATGATTCCCCACTTGCCCCCTTGTTCCGTCTGCTTCATTTCACTAGACTTCGTCTTTCTTGCGTGATGTGTACATTTATCTTTTGATAACAAAAAAGAAGCCCTCTCATAAATCTTGTTGACATCTGCAAGTGTTCAGTAACAATTAAGTTCCACATCATACAAGCTTCACAACCAGATTGCTTCACGCGTCCTAAAAGAAGATGGCCTTAATTTGAAAGTTTCTACTTTTTGTTTGTGAATTTTGACTGCAATATTATAAGACAGCCATTTGAACATATATATTAATTGACACTAAAATACAAGAGTACACAAATGAGTGCAGCATGAAATGTCATATTAGTAGGACAATGTTCAATGAAAACATTCAGGCCACAAGTCGCATAAGTAAACAATTATGTGCGACTTTCGGACAGGTATGGCAGCAAAACAGAGAAGTAAAACTTGTGTAGTGTAGTTTTACATTCTAGCCACTTCTCTTGAGAAAAATTAATTCTCTCAACAATCAAAAACTTGTGGGAATAAACAACGAAATCCCCCCACAGCAGGCCAGAAAGCGCCATCTGACCCAGAATCTGGTAGCAATACCTATGTTCCCGGTTCAAGCGGTACACCCCTGAAGTATCCTTCACCATGTAAAAGTCTACCGCAGTCTCGAGGCCTCCATCCTTCAATGTATAAGGACATTTCACCTCGACAACCCCATGAGCAGTTGCTTCGGTCGGGTCCCATGTCGTCCTGTCAGGAGACGCTCCGAGCCAGGGGCAGTCAGGTTGAACAACAATGCCGCAGTGCGATGTCTGGATATCATGTCCCAAGACCCGCAAGGCACTCTCGTAACGTTGCACAGCCGCTGGCTCGTACTTGATACCGTGTCTATTGGGAAAAAAGATTAATGCGTAGGTGTCACAAACCACTGGTCTGGTAAAGGCGAGCGGGTTGAACATGAATACGTAAAATTGAAAGAATAAAACACGGAGGACAAGCACGGGACAACCATGAAAGAATGTGGTTGTCTCGTGCTTGTCCTACGTGTTTTATTCTTTCAATTTTATGTACGTGTCACAAACCAGTTGCCACAAAAGCATCAGAATAGGACTCCGCTATATATGAACACTTAACAGATCCTCATGCATTCCGAGCGACTTTAGTCACGCCAACTAACCAGTCACAGTCATCGCACGTATGGATCAGACATCTACATTGCAGGCCTGGATCATAGTCACAAAGTGGGCATTTCATTCTGGAGCTCCGACACATTGTGTGTGTCCGTCACCCCAAAGTATATGAAATTACTAGAATCAGTAACTTGCATCTGTTGACTGTGCACCGACTGTGGTCCTTTTTGTGCAAGTGTTGGTAACCAGACACTTTCTACTGTTTGGCTCTTGTACAAGTTTCTTTTTCTCACCATTCTCCTCTGTAATGCCTCTGTTCCCTACAGTACAGTAAATCAATAAATCAAATCAATAAATTGACGAAGGTAGCGCCAACAAAAGAAACTGAAACCAGACCCTTGCACTGTCGATACCCAGCATACACGTCGGCGGCTAGGGACAGCATAATATTGACATTATCGGGTGGAACACTGCTTGTTCTCTAGCTGGGAATATACAAATTACCTGACCGCACGGACGTGCGAGATGTCCTTGGTTGATGTCAGGTTGTTGAGGCCTTTTAAAGACCAGCTCTCGCGTGTTGCAACTTCCCCGAAGGATGACGCTGTCAGCCTGTTCCGTCGGGCTGCCCTCCATAGCGGACTCTTCGACTGCTGCCGTGTGTTTTTCTCCAAAACTGTGGCTTGAGTCGAAGTCACCAGCAGAGACTGCAAAAATAGCAGCCTTCGTAAGTTGTGAGAAGCAGTGAAGCCTTACAGGTGACATGAATCAATATTAGGAGTCATTTTTACATACTCTACACAAACATACTGGCACAAGTGTGAAACGGGCATACTTGCAGCCAATACCACAGGGCCCGATACTTGAATGTAGCAGTGATTTTTACAGATAGAAGTGGATTATTTCTTCAGTCTCTCCTCGACTAAGCTTGCTGAGATCACCAAGACAATCTAAGTATTGTGCTGTAACTGAACTGCGCTTAACAATAATGGTACCTTGAGAAGCAGGTCCTGTTGCAAGGGAAAGTTGTGTCCGGAGGTATCCCAGGCCACGCCGGACTCAAAGAATGCCGGGTCAGAAAGCAGTGCAGTGGTCCTCCTTTGTACGAGGCTCAGTTCCGGGCTGATATATGTCTCATATCCAAATGGAACGAGTGAGTGCTGGTACGATAGGGGACTACCAACAGGAGCCAGGCCAAACCTCGTTTCGACCGAGTCCGCAGTGGCTTCTCGAAGGCGCTTGGCAAAGGGCGTGACATCACTTGAACAACAATCCGCACCAAGTTTTCGAATGGACAGCATTGTCTCATTCTGGTCCAACGGTTTTCTTCGCGCATCGTAAAGTTTTGAAGAGATGGGTACGTCACTGCCATCTTCTCGAACACTTCTCCAGTCAACAGACTGTAGGCTTGTCGATGCAACTGCCTCTCCCCGTGGGCGGCGCCACTGCTGGGGCAGCTCAGTACAGGCAACAACAAGCGGAGCTTCAGCATAGTCCTTAGCTCGCAGTAGAGCCAGAAGTTTCAGAAGGGCTAGTGAGTGATTACACACACCACTAGTTCCAGCGGCGCATTCGCAGCTTGCATTGCACACAAGTCCGCTGTAGAGGATGCCACAAGAAACTTGGTACGGCCTTGAATTCTTCTTCTGGCTTCTAAAGCAGCTTGCCTTTACACATACTTTGGCGGTGGAACTGAAATAAATTTGAAAGAATCAAAATTAGAAAATCAGCATTCTTGTTTTACATATTTTTGTTGCATAGAATGTGTTCCGAGGAGACAGCCAGCATTCGGGCTTCTGCATTTTCACTGCCTCTGGCACTCAGCTGTGTGAAAGTTATGCCACCTTTCACCCTGTAATGGCATTATGCTGAGTTGTAAACAAAGAATATGTGATTACTCATGCTTAGAAATGTGCAATGCTTAGGGTTCAGTCTAAGACGTTCACTAACCAGCTCGCCAGCATACTCTCACTTCTGACAGTATACGGTCGTATGCCCTACGTGCTTTTATTGATTCGGGAACCTTCATGGCGTACACGTCGATAGGTCATACAATGTGCCTAGGCCTGCAGCGTAATACATGATTGGCCGTCGCCGCGAAATCTAACGTGCCGGCAATGAGGACAAGACGAATGAAACAGACAGCTTGCACTGTGACTGGTAGGACAGCTAATCCACAGTATGGTACTATCGGAAACAATATGAGCGTCAACGCGCCTCCGCGGCGACAAGCGGAGGCGCATTCACGCTCATATTGTTTCCGATAGTACATGGCGTGGAGTAGCGAAATCCACCGTCACGACGCAACGAGCGACTCCCGTCTTGACTTGGCCCTTTAGCCCCGCCGAAGAACCACGTTACTGAGTTTCGCAACGTTACGTAAACCAAAAACAAACTCCGAAATAAAAAGTACAGCATTCCGTTCCCCCTGCTTCCATCTCAAGCGCAAGCGAAGTCGAAAGCGTAAGCGGGTAGCATGGTACCTTTAACGGCACTTGGACGGCACGACTGCGCACAAAGATCGCTTACGGCGTTTTGCTCGAACTTGTAGCTTTGGCTTCGCTCATACTTACGGCCAAACGGAGTATAGAGATAATATGATGCATGTCAAACGCCCAAGAAAATAATAATGCTCACCTCGACACTCGAACCGACGACGGGTCACTGTAGGCTTCCGTCACGAACTTGTAGCTTCGTGCAGCCTGACGGCTCGACCTCAACCTGGACGTGCGGTACGATTCGACTTTATCTCCATCGAAGCTCTGCTGTATTTTAGATAGACTCGTGCTCCACGATGAAGCTCCTGGTTCTGTTGAACCGCTGTCAGCGGTTGGCCCACAGTCAGCTGCAGCCATCGTTTTCGTGGCGACGCCGTAGTAATGGCGTCGGCTAACTTTGCCAAGGTTGCTTCACTGACTTTCGGGAAGGGCCTATTCCACCCAGAGCGCGAGAGTTGGCACCCCTTTACCCCCCCCCTTAAGCGCAATCACCGGTGCATTGACGCGGTGCTAGCTAGCTGGCATCAGCACCGCAGTTGGTGAGTCCTGCAGCGTCTCACAACGAACGCGACGCTAGCACGCGTTTGCCACCAAGAAGGACGCGTGCGCTGCTTTCCTGGGACTCTTGTCGAGCTTCTACATTTTCCCGCTTGGGGCGGGTCGGCCATCCGCTAGCGATGACGTCATGTGCCGGCCTCGTTCTCTAGGTTGTAGCGGGTGAGCACTGGTGGTGCACTTGTTAAAGCCAATGCCATGTAAGCCAATACTGGCAACCCCCGCGGAGATTGAATGGAAAGCGCCGAATAAACAAGGACCAAGAAGGGGACAGAGACGAAGCGCTTCGTCTCTGTCCCCTTCTTGGTCCTTGTTTATTCGGCGCTTTCCATTCAATGATGTACCAACTAGCCCATTTATCTATTTTACCCCGCGGAGAGCTAGCGAAACGTTATCGCAGCGCCCCTGGCGAGCTCGGAGGTTCTGCTAGCAGACGAATTCTCCACAACGCATTTGCTTTGCCTATCTCCGTGCGCGGCGACCAATAAAAGAATATTGTCACATATTTAATGTTAAAAAATAGGTGCTCTCATAAGTGAACGACAATTTCCCCACGCGTAAAAGATGGTAGAGCTTTCAGATTGCAATTTTGGGTCTCCCCTGAACAAAACACACACGTATCTAAGCGAGACAAAACACGAATGTACCTTCGCGTTGTATTTTGAAGAAGGACAACGTGCAAAAATTTTGGAACATAGCTACGGTTCAACTTTACTTTTTTGATCAATCCATTAATTTTGTTGTTGCAATTCCCATTTCTCGTGAATGTCTTGCTTATAACCGTTCTGTCGAATAGGCGAGCTGGCTAATCCCGTTAATATCGTCTCTGAATGAACCAGCACAAGGCGATTTGGAACCAATTACGGTACTGTGATGTCAGTATGCTCTGGAAGAAGTCGACTGTGCACATACGAATCTGACGCTATTACTGAATTTAATAAAAAGCCGAGTTACACACACACACCCACACACACACAAAAACAGACTTTTCGCGCGAGCAAAAAAAAACAAGAGCAGGACGTCGTAGCTCAAATAAGGGTGATTTTGGTCGCGTTATATACAGTGCACAAATTCCGATTGTTAGCGCCGGCTCTACTAAAATCTTCTCCGTCTTGTACAATAACTTCCATTTTTCAAAGTCCACTTTCGTTTTATGTTTGAGGCTATGCTATGCCTGAGCGCCTTCTCTTCCTACTGCTTTAATGTTTTCCTTTTTTATTTGCTTTTTTTCTATATTGCACGTACTTGACGTTGGAACCATCGCGTACTTTTCTTTGCCTTCTTTGGCTTAGTTTTTTACTCTTTTTCCTTCGCTTCGGCGCTTACTATGCCCGGATATTTTAGGGCCGTCTGTACCTTTGTGGTTATTGTTGATGTTTTTTCACTGTCGTCTGCGAGAACCTCCTATTTTCGCTTTCGATCGAGTGTCTAATCCGAAACCTTCATATGTGTTTTTTTGGTATTTATTCAATATATTAGAAAGTGTGAGCTCGTTATGCATTTCTATTCGGGTTTTATTTGTGTACGGGGCACATCTGCCATGGGTCATGATCTCTTGATCAACCGGCCACGTTCGGGCATACACCAGCGCATATTTGGAGGTGGCAGGCATGCCATGGGCTGCTTACCGCAGAAAAAAACAAGTTTCTACGATATGGTGGAAAAACCTGCTTTCGTTTCTTGTAGACCGAACGAACGTAAGTAATTAATTTACTGCAGCATTCAAAGAAAACAAAGAGAGCTATCCAAGCCTGGCTTCAAGATCGCCACTGACGCCACAACAGACGATTATGACAACTTCACGGAGATTGCGTAGAATTTCACGGACGACAGACCAGACGCACGGCTGAACACCCAGTCCTATGTAGCCGGGTGGGCAGCCAGTCAGATCTGTCATCATGCTTGTCAAGTCCAGCTGCAATCAGAAACACGGCACACCTCGAAATGCATTATGTTGAAGAACGAGAAATATTCTCATCCAAAAATGACGCCACCTTTCGACTTAGCTAGTCACTTAGCCGGTAACATCAGTCGTGACTTCGCCACAGCAGCCAAGAGTTCAGCTCAAGGAGGACTTGAGGCCTCTGATCGACGAAACAAAGGCGTGGTGTGCAAAGCTAACCGGGACAATCATTTCAAAAAGATACACTTGAATGTACTTCTGAACTGCTTCGTCAGCGAGAAAACGAAAAACCTGCCAAAATCACTGGGAAATTAAATGCGAACTCAAAAAAGGTCACGCACTGCTTGCACGTACCAGATTGCAACGTGCGACTCATATTCGGGTAGTGTGAGCTGGACTACGATATTCCTATCTTTTTTTTTAGTTGCTAACATCGCTGCGAAAGCAAATAAACAAACACGTAACAAGCAGCTAAAAAGAAAAAAAGGGAAGCTTGTTTCTTTTCTGATTAGTTTCATCGTGTTGCATCCGCTTTGTTTGTTGTGGACTCAACACCAACGGCGACCACCACCGGCGAAGCGATCGTCGTCGTTGAAGGAGTTTCTTTGCTGGGTAATTTGTACCTTTGTATCGTCTGCTAACCTCTTTGTTTTATTCGACCTTGCTCGCAACTGTGCCTCATTTCTTTTTTTTTATCTGGTATGTCGATTTTATTTTTCCAGCAAAGTTAAGAGAGTGTTTGCACATTCATTTTTATCCTTACTTTTTGTTTTGTTTTATGCTGTTTCGACTCGTGCGCCTGCTCTGGTAATATTAACATATTGTTTGCGCCCGTTTTAATGATCTCTTATTAAGGTAAGGAATCGTGAGAACTCAGTTTGTAACAGATAAACAGTAATCTCTTACGACGTAGTTCGAGTAGCTAGGCGCCTTTTTTCCGCTTCCCATCCGCGCTTCAAACGCGTATGATCGTATGATCCCCTGAGAGGCTGTTTGAGACCGCTAAATAAACTGCTCTTTCCTTGTTTATCCGCGCGTTTTTATTTGTTTGTCTTTGCATTTGAGATTAATAGAATCCGCTTTTCAAGCGGACTGACCGTAATAAATTGTTTCAGCTGTTGCGGTGAGGAAACGGTTTTCGCAAAGGTCGAGGGCGTCGCAGAGAATATACTTTTCCATTGCGTTGTCTGCTTTCGTAAATTCCGAGTCCGCTAGAGGCGCCACCTTCACGTTCGCCGCCGCTCCCATGGGTTTGCGAGGAGTTTCCAGTATTGGCGAAGCAATATTTCACGGATGATACGAAAAAGCCCAGACGAGCGCGTAGCTTACACAGAGCCGTCTATTGGGAGAGTTTGGCCATCCATTGTTTTGAATTGGCGAGCATCTCGTGGCCTACCACAGGCCGCGAAACCTGCCCCTAACGGTAGACTCCTGGTGACTGAAAACTTTGTGCATGGTGGCCCATGAGAGGTTTTCGTCATGTTCATATTCAACGGTAGAATAAACGGCCGTCCGCTCCAAACCAAACCAAACTGCGTAGTTGCGATCATTGCTGCTGCGAGATCGAACGATTCTATTTGACGCTTTATATGTCATTTCCAATAATGTGACGTTGGGGTCTGCTGATTGGTCGACGCTGTTTCGGACTCTTCATTTACGCTCTAACCACAGGTGGAATATTTGGCACTGGTGGAGGCCTCTGCTCCGCCCATTGGCCAAACTCTCCCAATATACGGCTCTGGGCTTACAAGGGCTGCTGCACAATCTTTCGGAACAATGCTCAAACATCGCTCTTTTATTTTACTTGTAAGCTGGAGAGTCTTTAGCCTGAGTGAAATAATTTCTTTCTTGACTTGTGCTGTGAGCTCGATGTTTGTTTTATATTTCTTTCTACTTATACCGTGCTGC